TTTATGATAATGACATTTCAACTTACGGAATATCATCCAATAACAGGTCAGTCAAAAAATTTTCATCATACTAATAAATTTCATCGTATTGTAAACAGTCGTGCATAATACAATTTGTTTCACATATGTGCCGCATACATTATATTAGAATATTATTTTATATTAAATACATAATCTTTTAACAATATTACTAAATTTTTATGCGGGTGCACAGTTCTTCAGCGAGATAAGCGTTAGTAGGGTTACTCCGTACAGCTACATCTACAAATTGCACAAAGATAATGAATATGTTTAACAAAATAGTAATACATAAAGAAAATGCGCGTGATAACGTGTTTTAGTGCAGCACATTAAGCTTCAATTAGGCATAAACTTCAATAATATCTTAACCACAGTTAGTAAGGAGAATACAGAAATTGCACAAAGCACCAGGGATTAGTCGTCATAAAGAGAACTACGTGTCTCTGTTTGGTATAAAGAGAATACAACATTATGCTGACCGCTTCTGTCCACTAAGCGGACAAACCTCTTCTTCACATATGCCATCTGGCATCGTTCGTCCAGGCCGCGGAGCATTTCAAATAGACAGTAAACCGGTACATTTTGGAAAGTCCACAAAAACTGTCTCCCTCCAATTGGAAGGGAATAGCGGGTTTGAAGACTGATGAATTAAGAATAGTAACTTACGCATTCAAATCCCACAGACGCAAAGTCTTGTCCCAAGAGCCGGATAGAGCAAACTGGCCATCAGACGACATCACGACATCGGTCACGAAATGACCATGGCCATGCAGCGCTCGAGCAGGAACGCCGGTGATCGACTGTTCATCTTTCTGTAGTTTCCATATAATTATTGTTTTGTCTGAAAAACACGGCACATTAACACAAACGAATCACGACAGACGACCGAACTCGCAATTACCTCGGCTGCAGGAAATGATCCTGTTTGGATCACTCGGCGTAGTTGCCACCTGTGTCACCCAGCCGCCATGGCCTTTCAGAGTTCCTCGCAAAGTTATCTGCTCGTCACTTGCCATTACTCTACCACTTTCACAATAGCATCCACTAAACACAGGTTTAGGGTCAATGAAAACAATTCAATCCGGCGATAATACATAAACGCTAAAATGAGAATGCCAGTACGAATCTGAGCCCAATCTATATCAATAACAAGTGACCAGCACTTTGTCAGGATATAGTACCGGAAACTTTCCCTCGGTATCCTGCGAGAAAACGTTCATATAACGCAGTTGAGCTTAGTTACGGTCCAAACATGTTTATATTCGACATCGGATATTACTACTGTTGATTTAAAGATTCTAAATTACTGCCACAAAACAATACATGAATCAACACATTTTGTCATCCTGAACATGGTGACCAAGTACTCTTTTGCATGCATCTCTTGCGTACTGACACATTCTTGGATTATTCAGTACGAATAGATACCACGACACGTGCTCAGGCCGGTGTTGATGTTTTGGTAGAGACCAACCTACCACACCAATCAACAGAAGCCTACCAGCGGAAAAGTATCAATCCTCAACGGCTACAGCCTTGACATTGTTGCAGGTCCCAGCGGCTAATCTGGAGGAAAAATATGAGTCCTTTCTTGAGGAACTGAAACATACAGTATACGAAGCACGGAGTCCCACTTTCTGAAGGGCGACTTTAATGCAACCGTCGGAGCAGATGCTGAAAAGTGCAAAGGCGTGAATGTAAATAACAACCCCAGCGACCTCAACAATAACAGCATCAAGTTGCTGCAGTTTTGTGCGAACAACGACCGTCCACTATGAATACCTTTTACGAGCATCCAAGAGTGCATCAATACACCTGGTACCGGGAAGCTTGTGCACAGAAGTCGATGATCGATTTGATAATCGTATCG